ACAACTGTCCATAACTCCAGTTCCAGGGGATCCAACAGCCTTTTCTGTCCTCCGCAGGTATTACACTACACGGGTGCACTTATTGACATGCAGACACACATACACATAAAATAAAAATAATAAATAAAATATTTTTAGAAAAGATTTTACTGGATTCAACCAAGCAAGTGAAAGACCTGTACAGTGAAAACTTTAAAACACTGAAGAAAGAAATAAAGGAAGACACTAGAAGAAAGAAGACCTTTCATAGATGGGCAAAGCTAATAGTATGGAAACTGGTTGTCCTTGCCAAAAGCAACCTACAGATTCAATGCAGTCCCAATCAAAATTGCAGCTCCATTCTTCACAGAACTAGAAAAAAAATCAAAAATTCATATGGAAATGCAAAAAAGACCCACATAGCTTGAAGCAATCCCAAACAGGTATTGCCAAACCTGATTTCAAGTTATACTATTGAACTCCAGCAATAAAAGCATCACACAAACACACACATAGACCAATGAACTAGAATAGAGAACTCAGATATAAACCACACAACTACAGCCACTTGACTTTTTACAGAGATAAAAAATGCACACTGGAGAAAAGTGCCTCTTCAACAAATGGTGCTAGAAAAAAATGGATATCTACACGCAAAAGAATGAAATCAGATCCTTCTCTCTACTTGTGCATAGAAACCAACTCCAAATGCATCACCATAAAACCTAAAGCTCTGAAACTGCTAGAAGAAAAAGTAGGGAATACACTAAATAGACATAGATAAGGGTGTTCTAAATAGGATGCCAGTAGTTTAGGAAATAAAGCCCACAATTAACAAAGGAGATTCTATGAAGTTAAAAAGTTCCTATAAAGAAGAAAAAAAAAGTCAAACAAAGCAGCAGCCTACAGAAGGGGAGAAAATATTTGTCACCTATATATCTGACACAGTATTAATTTTTAGAATATATGAAGAATTCCAGAAATTAAACATAAAAACCCAACCCAATCAAAGAAGGAGCCCTGGAACTGAGAGTTCTAAAAATAAGAAATATTAATAGTTAATAAATGTTTGCAAAGTGTTCCAACATCCTTAGCCACCAGGGAAATGCAAATTAAAACAACTTTCATATTCCACTTCACCCCAGTCAGAATGGCTGTTACCAAAAAAAAAAAAAAAAAAAAAAAAGAAGTCAAATGACAATGAGATTGTAGGGAAAGGGGAGCCCTTATTCATCGTTGGTGGGAATGGAGACTGGTGCAGCCACATGGAAATCAATGTGGAGGCTCCTTGAAAGTAGAAACACCATGTTGCCCATCCAAACAACTCCTGTGCATTATACCCAAAAGACTCCATATCCTACCACAGAGATATTTCTTCATCCATTGTCACTGATGTATTCACAATAGCTAAGAAATGAATCAGCTTAGATGTCCATCAGTAGATGAATAGAGAATGAAATCACAGTACATTTACTCGATAGAATTTTATACAGCCGTAAAGAAAACTGAAATTATGAAATTTTCAGGTTAATGAATGAGACCGGAAAAACTTTGAGTGAAGTAACAAGAGGCAAACACTGCAAGTTCTCTTTCATATGTGAATCCTAGCTTCAAATCTTCAGTGTTTAACTTGAAGCACCTGTAGAAGCTAGGAAACTAAAAAGGGCCATTGGCTGAGGGTGGGGTGTTGCTGTGTCTTAAGGGAGTGGGACTAGCAGAACATAGGTGATATAAAAGGGGGGCAGGGATACTGAGGGTGGAAAGGTTAAAGCAGGGATGGGCTGGGGGGATGGGAGGAAAACAACATGTCAAGAAGGGAATGCTAACCAAAGTGAATGATCTATTTAAAAGAAGCATATGGAAGCCTACTACTTTGTATACCCATTAAAAATTATAGGCTAAAAAAGAGTTAGAAGGGAGATACTCTAATGCTGCTCCTAGATGTCATTGTTTATCAAATAAAAATCTCAGTTGCAGGTGAGTTGTTGATCAGGGAGGCCAGGACCAACAACAGTACAGGATATTGTCACTCCTCTTGGTTTTCCACCAGAACTAGAAGATACAAGTCTATTGCTGGAGACACCACACACCCTGGCTGCAAAATATAGAGAAAACCAGTGGGAACTGAGCAGGAAGTTTCCTTCCTGCTATCTAGATCTCATGGTGCCAGAAGATGCTATACAGACTGGCTGCAGGGGAAGGTAAGGTATCAGTGATGTTATCCCACTGTGAATTGTACAAACTACAATGCCAGCCAGCCAGGCAAGATGTGCCCATTGGTGCAATAGTGACACAACTGTTATAGGGTAACCAACCACTCTCTGATTGGATCTGAAACCTTTTCCACAGGAGTGAACTCACACTTGTTTCTGTAAACCTGGTCAAAAACACATAGCTAGGAGGTCATAGGTTTTAGGGGATAACTCATTACTGAGGTTTAGCTAAACTAACATGGCATGAAACTAATGTCTAAATATTTATGTTTATTTTACTCGTAGACAAATACTACTCCCATCCTTAATAGAGAAGCTTCTCCTTATAGTGAAAGGCAGGGAGTACAAAGGCACAAGGCTGCTCAGGATGCTTAGAATAGATGATGATTGAGTGCTCAGCCCTGAACAGGACATTTATATCACCAGCTCTAAAGCTCAAGGAGCACTGCCAAAGAGGGAGAGGAAAGAATGTTAAGAGTCAGAAGACAGGGAGAAGGGCTGAAAAATGCTGTGTTCAGGGCATGACACAGCCACAACTACTGCAAACATGATCTCATAGGAGCTGCAGTTTTTGGCACAAGACTGTATCTGTTATGCAGCCAGTCATGGATCAGGGAAGTGATCATGGGACCTTACCCCTCCTTGCAGAAATATTGACTACTGATGGATTCTGGGAGAGGGACAGTCACTGTCTTAAGTTATTACCAAATGTTAAGTCTACCAGGCTCCACTGTATACTTCCAAATCACATAGAGGCTCCTAGTTAAAATAGGTGGGTCACAAAACAAAACATGAAGGCATGAATGTGGGAAAGGAACCTATAAGGAGGAATGGGATGACAAGGACGAAAGGGAGATGAGAAAAAATAGGGGTGAGAATAAACAGAAGGCACCATATACAGGTATGAAGTTGTCAGAGGAAAAAATTTTTTAAAATATCTTATTTACTATTTTTATTTTATGTGTATGAGTGTATTGCCTGCATGTATGTAAGTGCACCCATGTCATGCAGTACCCACAGAGGACAGAAGAGGTCATCAAATCCCCTGGAACTAGAGTTACAGATGATTATTAGCCACCATGAGGGTGCTGGGATTAGATCCCTGGTCTTCTGCAAGAACAGCCAGTGCTCTTAACCACTAAATCATCTCTCCAGCCGGAAGAACAAATTAATAAATAAAAAAACCTCAGATTATTTTACCTGCCTCCATAGAATGATTATCTTAAATATTTTCATATATTAAATACCATATTAGATAATGTTAAAACTATTTAACCAATCACCTGCCATATCCATCAACCATCTAATATAATTTAGAAAACTCAAAAGTTTTCATCAGTTGAATGTGATTATTATGTGATTATGATTATGATGAATTTCCTTGGATTTCTTCCATTTGACCTTAGTGGATCTATAATTTTATGTCTTTCATCATATTTGGAGGTGTTTTAGCCGTGACTTATTTGAATACCTTTTTCTTCCCACGCTCTTTCTTCTCTGTTTGTAGAAATCCATGGTGTGAATGCTACAGCTGTTATATTGTGCCCAGATTCCTAAGGCTTTGTTATTTCCACTCAATTTTCTCCTTGTTGTTCAAGTTAAGGAATTTCTATTTTTCTAGTCTTAAGTTCTGTGACTTTCCCCTATGTTTTATTCATTCCATTATTCATTCCATCTAATAAGGGTTTTAAAGTGTTTGAAGTTTTATTTTAATTGACACACAGTAATTATATGTAATGATGGGGCTCAGTGTGGCATTTCAGTACATGCATACAATATGTAATAATCAGATCAAGGTAATTGGAAAATCTATCACTGCAAATACCGATTCTTTTGCACTGGGGATAGTCTATTATTTTGAAATATTCAATGAATTATTGTCATTTATAGTCATCTTACTATGCTATAGAACATTCTATAGAACATCAGAAGTTACTGCTACCCAGATTCACTTCATACTAGTTAACCATCCTCTGTGTACTTTTTACTCCCACCCAACTTGCCCAGGTTTTGGTGAACACTATTCAAATCTTTACTTCCTGGAGATCAGCATTTTCGCTCCCAAGTTTAAATGAGAACAGGTATGTAGTACATAGTATTTGTCTTTCTTTGCCTGGCTTATTTCACTTAGCTTCATGTCGTCCAGTTCCATTTTGCTGTGCACGACAGCATTTCATTTCTTTTATGGCTAAATAATTCTCCACTGTGTACATACCACATTTTATTCATCCACTCATCTGTTGATGGGAACTCAAGTGGATTCCATGTCTTGGCTATTGTGAATAGTGTTGCAGCAAACACTTGAATGCAGATTTCTTTTTGACATATTCATTTCAATTCTTTTGGGTGTACACCCAGTAGTGGGACTGCTTGACCATATTGTGTAATGTAATGGCTGTACTTGTTAATACCCAT